AGCTTGATGAGCAGGTCGATGCAGAAGCCGTAGCAGCACTGAGGCACCGTGTGACGCGCTGCGGGGGGAAGAGGCGGTTACCACCAGGCTCCCCTCCGAGCGGCCCGGCCCCGGTGCCCGCCCGGTCCCCCGCTCACGACTGCCCGGCGAGGTGTCGTTGGGTCCCGTGCAGATCACTTTCTTGACAGGGTCCCCGTTGACGGTGGACTCCTCCTTGCACGTGCCGTCGCTCAACGTGGGCTTGACATACACGAAGGGCTCCTGGTGGATCGTCACGATCTGGGGGGAGGCGGAGACCGGGTCTGGACCACTGCCCTCGGCGGCCGCGGGAGGGTGGGCGGGGGCGGTGCTGTCCTCTCCTCAGCGCCTCCGAATCCCAAACCCTGACGTTTCCCCGTCCTGCTGCTCTCTCTGGGGCCACCAGGCACCGTCCGCGTCACCTCCCTGCTGCGCTCTGAGGGGCCCAGGCTCAGCACCCAGAAGGCACCGGCCTAAAACATCGCCTGCTCTTGGCCGCTTGCCCTTTGGGGTCTCGGCTCACACGTCACTCCCTCGGTAAAGAACCGCTGGGATGTCCAGTCTGTCCTGGGCACGGTCTCTGAGCCCTCAGGGATGCGGAACTCCTTGTCCCAGCCCAGACCTGCCCCACGAGGACAGGGTCCTGTCCCTGACCTCCCCTCAGAGCCTGCACCGGACCCAGGGCCCCAGTCCCCGGTCTGACTGCTCAGCCTCCCCAGCGGCGGGCCTTGTCCGGCCGTCCATCCTCCCTCCCTGTGTCCCCTGATGACGCCCCCCTCGCTCCCATGCCTGCCTCTTCCCCGGGGCTTCGGAGTGCACACAGGAGGCAGCTGATGGATGTTTCTCCCTCTCCCCTTCCTCTCTCTCTAAAACTACTAAGAACATATTTAAAATAAATAAGTGGAAATCGGTGGGGAAAAAAAGTAAAAAGCTGGCAGCCCAGGTGGGACCATCTGACCATTGGTGTTTTCAGACTTTTCAACACGTGGTGGCCTACGGAGGAGGGTGTGCCCTCAGTCGGGTGCTGGCCAAGGGCTTGGGTGAGAGGCCCTGTGGGTGGGCCCAGGACACAGGCAGGGCCTGGGTCACTGGGAGGATGTGGTTGGTGATCTAAAACACTGGCCTGGCCCTGGCTGGTGTTGCTCAGTGGATAGAGCATCGCCTGCTGCTGAAGGGTTCTGGGTTCGATTTCAGTCAAGGGCACATGCCCGGGTTGCAGGCTTGATCCCCAGTAGGGGGCGTGCAGGACGCAGCCGATCAATGAATCTCATATCAATGTTTATACCTCTCCCTTCCTCTCTGAACTCAATAAAGACATATTTAAAAATTGGACCTTCAGGAGAGCCTCGCAGGAGGGAAGGGCCCAGGAACGAGCCCAAAGTCTCTGGGTAGCATCAGGCCAAGGAAGGGCAGCTGTGAGGGATGAAGCCGTGGGGGGGGGGGGGGGGGAGCGCCCAGAGGCCCAGGGAGAGTCCCCGGGGGAGTGGCCCCCACAGGGAGGCCAGGGTGGAAAGGACAGTGGGACCAGGCGTGGCAGGAAGCTGGCGTGGGGCTGTTGAGGCTCTCCCACAGGGGAGATGAGTGTGGAGGTGGCAGCCCTGGGACCAGAGCTCCGACAGAGAGCTAAGGCTGCATGAAGCCCACAGGGTGCCACCCCTCTGCCCTGTGTCCCCCAGCAGCTCTTCCTCAGAGAAGTCCTGTCCCTCGCAGCTTCCCCGGATTTAAGTGGGGAGAGAGCCACGGGGTGGGGGCTGGCAGCCCTCCCTCCCCCCTGCCTCCGGGCTCCCTGTGCGGAGCCAGGTGTGTGCTGGCGGCCAGGTGCTGTCCAGTCCCCACTTCCTTTGGGCACTTTTTTGGCCGCCCTGTGCCCTCCACTGGGTCTGAGGGGTGGAGGGAGTGTCCAGGGTGAAGGTGCTGGGCGGGGCGGCGGGCCCCACCTTCAGCCTGGTGGACATCTGGTACCCTCGGGGTTTCTCTGTCTCTCCGCCCGGCCAGATGATCTTCCGGTCGTTGGGGATGACCTGGGGGTGGGAGTATGAGATGGAGGGTGGCCACGCAGGGGTCTTGGCCCCAGGACCCTAAGGCCCCAGCCCCCACCCCCTCATGACCCCCACCTACATGGGTGCCGTTGTAGATGCCCACTTGCACCAGCTTGCGGTTCTGCAGGTTCATGATGCTGTAGTTGGCGAACTTCCGGTCACCGTCCTCATTGAACTCCACGCGGCCCGTCACCCCTTCCGCGTACTTGGAAGACATCAGCACTCTGGGGGGCAGCGTGGGTTCCACTTGACCGCTGGGGGCCTCCATCCCCGGCCTCCGGAGCAGCCTGACCCGCCTCCCGCGCGGCCTGACCCCGCCTCCCGCGCGGCCTGACCCCGCCTCCCGCGCAGCCTGACCCCGCCTCCCGCAGAGTCTGAACCTAGCAGGCTAGGTCAGACCCTGGAGCTGTGAATCCAGCGGGTGGCGCGCAGGTCTGCCTGCACTTGGTGGACAGCACACCATGGCCGCAGAGCAGCTCCTCGAGCCAGCCCGGTGCTGAGGGCTCTCTGTGGGCTCGGACATTCTATCCTCATAGCCCTGTCCTCGCTTTACTGCCAGAAAGGACACAGAGTGAGGTCCTGTCTGTCTGCATGTGCATGTGGCATACCCAGCGGGGCCATCGGTGTGCACACGTGATCCTTAGTATGCAACCCCATGCACGTGCATGTGGCATGTGTGCTTCATGCCTCTCTGAGTCTGTGCACGTGTGTGCACGCGTGTACATATGCCCTACATCTGCAGCTGTGTGTGCTCCTGCCGTGGACACGGTGGGCTGTGGCTCTGCGTGTGCAGCTCAGTGCTTGCTACTCAGGGGGTGGGACCTAGTGATGGGCTGGGCTTGCCCACCTGAGGGCCGCGAGTTAACTCCTGCCCACTGCGGCTTTCTAGTTGGGCCTGTGGCCTGCCCTGGCTCTCTCTCTGCAGGTTCGGGTGCCATCCCTGGTTCCTTGTCTGAACGCCTGGGTTCCTGGAAGCGCCCGGTCCCCACCTGCTGCAGGCTGTCAGCCACCCGGGGAGTGGGGTGGGGTTTCAGGGTTGGCTGCAGTGTTAAAAGCTGGGGGCAGGAGCTGTGGAGGCAGCGACAGGGCCGTGGTGTGTGTGGGAAATGGGGGGGATGATTATAACAGTGGAGCAGGGAGTGGAGGGGAGGAGTGGAGACAGGAGGCACCTGGGGTAGGTGACTGTGTCTGTAGCTTGTGGGCAGCCGGCTGAGCTGGACCAGCCGAAGAGCCGTTACTTCCACCTCCTAAGAGCCCTGTCCGGCTCAAGAGCGGCCACACCCACTCAGAGAGGCCCCGCCCACCTCTCACAGAGCGGTCCCGCCCACCTCTTGAAGAGCGACCCGCCCACTCGGAGAGGCCCCGCCCACCTCTTGAAGGGCGGCCCGCCCACATCTCAAAGAGCAGCCCCGCCCACTCATAGAGGCCCCGCCCACCTCTTAAAGAGCGGCCCGGTTTTCCAGATGTTGGTGTTGCCCACGCAGCCCCGCGGCGGGTCGGTGATGTTCTCCTTCTCCAGGAGCTCGTGCACCGCCTGGGCCACCACGCCCACCGCGTCGCTGATGTGGGCGGACTCGTTCTTGCCGTTGATGAGCTGCAGCCCGATGATGCCTGGGGCGAGCGAGGGCTTAGAGCCCCTGGAGAACCCCGTGTGGGAACCCGGCCCGCCGGGGCCAGAGGGGCGCAGCACTCACCGTCTGGGGCGTAGCGCAGGGCGTTCCCGGAGATCTCGCGCTCCCCCACCAGCCACACGTACCCTGACCCCGTCATGTTCAGCATCGCCGCGGCGCGGTACACGGTGGCAGCGTCGTCCTCGCTGTGGGGCAG